ATACAGATTGTGTATCTGAAGAAAATCCCTCCATCACCATACTCCCTGTGACTTTGTATGAGCTTCAAAAGATATCGTCTTAACATGACACATTAGCAATGAGGACATTATATAAACAAACACTTCCTGTGTTACCCCTTTGCTCTAACTGATGAAGTATTTTCAGTATTTCCCTATTTTCAGTATTTCATTATTTTTGTTGCTTATTGCTCTGTTCACTGTGTTACACACAAACACACATGGAATAATAAAAATTAATGCATGCATGCTCCTAGAGGTTTATAAATTTGCATAGAATTACAGTGTGGCTCTGTGGTCTGATTTGGTATGATGGCATGTGTCCATTTGCACGGTTGTCTATCATAAGATGGACTTCTCACCAGGGAACAATAATAATGCCAAACCCATAGGGAGCAATAGTCCCCCCCCCCAACCTACCAGTAAGCCTGTGAGCTGTGTTAAGTGTCATGGCAGCCTTTTGATGTTGCACAGACCGCAACTCAGAAATGGTAAACAGCAAAGATGAACCAAGATCTTCCTCCAGGGGGAATCCACAGTGTAAGGATATTAGGGACGTTATGCATAATGCGTCTCAGCAGCAGCGCATTTACCCAATCCCAACATGTCTTTTTTAAACACTGGGAACTGAGATTAGACACAGAACTTCTAGATATCCAATTCTCCACCAGCATTTGGAAATCCACATGAAGATTTTACTAAATAAAAAGCATGTTTTGGAACACATACATGGGGTCCATATTGTTTAGGGGTATGGTGACTGGGTGTCTTTGGAGAATGTCTGCTTTTAATGGGAAAAAAAATTAAAAAGCTCAGAATAAATATTTGATTTTCTCTTCCCATTTTTATCTTCCACTCGATGCCTCTTTCCCACAGTGTTCCATTACATAAAAGGTTTATGCAATCTGAGCAGTGAGGATGGCCATGAGTCATAACAACAGTGAAAAGGCTAGCTAAAGTAGCACTGATTTTTTTTTTCTTATAATTTTATGTTATAGAATTGGTCTTTTAATGATCGCATGCAGACCTGTGATTCATGCATTTCATTTCATTTATATTACATTTAAAGTAATGAAACTACTCACTCATCTCTCCGTACCACATGGCTGAGAGATGATGGAAGTGTGAGAGAAAAAAGTAGGTTTTGCTAAATCATTTTGTCATAGTGCTTCATGTTGTTAAGGCTCCTTTAGGTCACAGTGGGTGACAGTTTTCATTTTTAATAATCACTCACGTTATCACTTTGCTTTTGTGAATGACAGTAAACATCAGTTTTAATGAGGCTTTTCCTGAAAATGTGCAAGGCAGATCTGCCCATTCTAGTCTGATATGTATTGACATGAATGATTATCATTCACTGAGCAAATAATCAAATGGGTATTTCACGAGCTATAGCCTACAGTTTCTCCCAGATCAGATGATATGTGTTAGCTGTCACATGAACACTGTGTGCAAACATGCACAGAGAGAGACAGAGAAGGGGAAGACAGAAAGACCCCAAAGGCCTTCGCACAACTTGTCTCTCCAGGAAACAGAAAGATTCCTGGAGAGGCTCTGGCCCTGTGTCCCAGCTTCAAATAGCTAATTGCCTCAGGCCCTCTATCCCAGGGCCAGCGGCTCATGATGAATCCCGACCTCCCTAATCGCAATACCTGCTGTGAACACCTCTGTAAGCTGGACCAGTGACAGAGGTTCAGAGGAGGATTGAAACAAAGTAAAGAACAACCCAGTCTGACATGAATCCAGGATGGCAACAGCCAGTGGAAACACTACACTATTTTCACCTAGATCGGCAGCCCACAGCACACAGATGGAAAGTGGACTGGGAGAAAGGAAGAGGACAGACGGGCAGACGCACAAACAGCGGGCAGACTCAACACCTCACTCGCAATCACAGTCACACTATGAAGAGCTGGGATTTGGAGACTGGAGATGCAAAGACAATCATTTCTGAATGCCCTGGATTTAAAGGGACAAGTTTTGACTGAATTAAAATGCAAAAAAAGAAAGAAAAGAAGAAAACATGGCCTGACTATGTACAAGAAAGAAAAAGTAATATTTAATTTTCTGGATGATTTCAGAAGTAAAATGATATGTAACTATTGAACTCGGCCAGACTTGCACTTTAACTTAAGTGGGCAACATAAAAAAGACAATCTAATCATCCTGAATCTACAGAAAAACATACTCAGTGCACAATGGTTTGGAAACTCAAATGCATAACTCACTGCAATGTTCATGGTGCTATAGCTGTGCTCAAACAGTAGAGAGGAAGACAACTTTAAACTGTAAGTCAGAGCCCTGCGGTGAACCGGAGCAGCTTCCACAGAGCAGAGGGGGCTGGGGTCACTTCCTTTCCCTGTTCATATGGCTGATGTGTGCTGGAGAATAATAGGAGGAATCACATCCCCCCAGCTGTTCTAGTTCACAAAGCTTCTCAGACAGACAGAAAAACAAGGATATTACAGACAAGGCCTTCTTCCTGCAGATGAATTGGCCACAGGGCCGGTCCAGCTGCAGGAGATCCAACTGTTCCTTCCCAGAAGCTACTGAACTTTTAGTCAATGGGCTTTGTGTATGAGCTGTGACACCTAAGTCTCACAGCTGTAATGAATACACCAGCCATTGATAAACACTTTTTAATGCATTCGACTTTTATTTTTGGTAACCTAATGGACGGCTAGATTAAGTGGCTGTAACTGATGAATCAAAGAGCCTATATTAGCCCTCTCTAACAGCACAGTAAACACCTCCATCACTTAGACAACAGCAGACTTTGAAGAGAGTTTTACTTTGCACACAGTTCAATTGTTTGTCTGTTGATGAGGCTTCTACTTCATCGCCTCTATACAAAGACAGAGAAGTTAAATCTCCAGTGAGAGAGGCTTTTTAAGATCTACAGTAGAGCATGAGTAATTCAATACAGTGGGGTATATTAGCAATCATGGGAGATCTTTTGATCTAGTAAATTATATTATAATATATTCCTTTGATTTATGTGTTTTTCAAAAAGTCTCATTAAGATGCGGCTAAAATGCAACTCAGCAAAGACATGTCTTTCTTAACTTCAGCTTAGTTTTGTACGTGATATTGTTTAGCTACATCATTGACTAATATTAGGTCTCCATGCAGGACAACAAGATGAAAACAAGGTGAAAAATACTGACTGAAAGCACGGGACGCACATGTTTTCGCTCTACGTCTTTTGAGTTTGGCTCACTCACTTCAGAAATGAAGCACAGTGTGATTCTGTGGTTTTTCGTGCAGTCCAGAAAGTCAAAGAGGCGAGGAGGCATCTTAAAGGTGTTAAATGATTTGACTTGTTAAAGACATCACCTTTGCTCTAGCACATGCTTCCACAGTCTACCCTCCCAAACCACACCAACTGTGCAAGGCCAGTTTATGCTTAACACAGTAGCCACAACCCAAGAAACCAAGAAATTCTGAGTTTAAAAAAAAGCAATAGCATAATTTAAAAAAAAAAACATTAAGACTTGATACTTCACCATTATAGTCTGCTTGCATTATGGATGCAAATAAACTGACAGGGTAGAGTGGCAAAAGCAGGCTGACAGCATTACAGTGTGGCTCTGTGTGAGGATCTTCCTGCTGAGTCTCCTGTGTGGTCCAGGTTGCAGAGGTGAAGAGACCTCCAGCCAGGCCTTGTTTGAAAGAGCAGGAGAGACAGGAAAAGACGGTGCGGCCTTAAGCTGCTCTGCCCTGCTCAGCAGCACATGTGCTGAGTGAGCCAAAAGGGTGGCTTACCACCAGAGGTCTCAGTCAAGGGCAGGACAGTTGAAAGGTCACTGCTAGCTGTCTTGCTATACAAACAGTACCTCAGTGAGTAATGCCTTCACCCTCTGAGCTGTTATAGAGCTTTAAAAAATACTAGAGATGATGAGCATAGTTTATAACTGTCAATTAAATGTAAGCATTCAATCAAAGAGCTATGATTTTTTTAAAATAATTTTTCTAAATTATTTTATATTGTTTATCAGCGCCTTAGCACAAGTTTTGCCAGTGGGCTTTGTGATATCTTAATTAAATTTCGGTTTATTTTGTGTATTTTAATCAGTCAGATACTTCACGCAAGTTGCTGTTGTCAGTCACCCAGTGCTAGTTCATGCCCATATCAGTGGTTCACGGTCACAACACATGAATGTTCTGTCTTTAAAGTAAGGCACCGGCACTAACCAAAGACCCATAGTGACTCCCACAGTCCAGAATTTATCAGACATCTGATCTGATTAGCATTAACAAAATTAAAAGAAAACATGTAACTAAACATGAGTAATTATATGTATATATTTATAATAACAATTAATAGTCCATTGGGAGCAGTCTACAGTTAGCTGTAGCCTAAAACATTATCTCCCAGGCTCAAGATTCTGCATCCAACCTCCAGGTCTCACAGAGGAACGCTGGAATCTCCATGCTGATGATACAGCTCCAGTAAGGAGTTCCAACAAACAATGAATCACGCTAAGATGTTTTAGTTAGGAAGACTGATTATTGTTATGCATCTGACTCTTTTAAACATAGATATTAATTCAAGTTCTTGCAAAGAAAAAAAAGCATACCACAAATGTAAAAGAACGATAGCCGTGCAAAGAAGAAAAACAGAGAAAAGACAACTGTGCGTTAAAAAAAAGTGTCGCCTCAAGCTAATTGCCGTCAGTGAACAGACTCAGTATCTTGTAGCAAGTTTAACGGACCAAACCAACTCACACAGCTGGAGCGGTGTTGGGGGGGTGCTAGAGAACACAGTATAATGAGTTTAAAGTTAATAACTAGCCTGGTATAGACACAACTTCAAGGATTCACAAAATAAAACTAGGGATTCAAAACACAGACAGATAAATAACCATGCAAGAAATTTAAAATAAATATAGCAATCAAACTACACTGTATAATACTATAATAGCCATAAGGGCCTTAATTTTCTTAAGAAATCTGCAGCATAAAAGAACAGCTTGGCTTACCAAACAACCAGAGAAACACTATCCTCTTTAACGGGCCAAGAATGTTCAGCTTCTATCTCTTATTTTTTATTCAATGCATCCTTGGCTTTCAGCTCTCTGCTGTTTTGTCCTCCTTGAAAAAAAATGTCCTGGGAGGAGGAGAGTGAAGGAGAAAAGACTTTCACTCAGTGATTCAGAGGCATCGTGTAAACGCCAGCATTCTCCTTCTGACAACCGGCGTTAATTGCAGATCCGACTCGCCCACACACTCCACATTTCTCCTGGAAGGAGAAGCTGAGACACTGAGATTGAAGTGGGATGAGGAGTGCAGTAAAAGATGCTGCAGCTGCCCATTCCTCGCACCGTCACCACCTCTCATTTCTCCCTTTCCACTGAGAACTTGTGCTGAGACGCAAACAAGCGCTTACGCACATTTACACAGGCATGCAGGGGCACACAAACATCCCATATAACAAGGCTAAAACAGTTACTAAACACTGGTAGTCATTGTGCAATACCAGCCATAACGATTAAATAAATACAGGACAAAACTCTCATATTATCAAAGCTTTCTGTGTGCTTGTCTAATGGACGCTATAGAACATTTGAGGTCTCTGAGGTTAGTGCAACAGTTCACAGCACACGTGAGAAAGACATTTACGGCAGCCCTATCTGTGCCTTCATACTCATTCCTTTGACTAATACATGACATAAATTGTTAAAATGATATTCATTTCAGCACGATGAAAAAATCCCTCATCCACACATTAGACACAGGAGCTCACGTGATGTAGATCATGAGCAACAAGGCCCATTACTGGCGAGGCCTGGGGCAGCACAGAAGCTAATGACTGCAGATTGGAGGGTGCTTTAATGCTTTGCTTTAGAAATCACTGGCAACCAGCTGGTACGGTAACGTGCATGCTTTCAGAGTAGCGGTAGTACAAAAAGGACAGTGAGAAAATGCAAGTACCCTTTCATGCTGCTGTAACAACTCGTGCCCCTAGAAAAACAATGAAATTTGTCATTAGTTCAACCTGATAAGGGGGTAATATACTGTAAGCAGTAAAATAGTTACAACTGTGGTAAAGACAAAGTCACGTTTTATATATGCATGCAACATACAGAGGGGGGTTTTTTTCAACACGGCAAAACATAAGTTTGATTTTGCTGGGTTTTATCCACACAAAAGGCAGTTTATACGTTCAAATGTGAAGCACAACCAAATATTTTCCACACAGTAGATCCACTCATGAATGAGCTTATAAAATCAGGACAATTTCAAGTCTTATTTTCAGTTTCAACTGAATAAAAACTACTCCTTCTGTGCAATATTAATGAGCTATGCAGGGTGTAGCATACACTAGAAACATTTGAGAAGGTCAGGTTACCGTTGGCCATTTCCCACTCTGGCCAGGGGTTAAGGTCACCAGAGTGCCAGAGATTCAAAGAAACACCAGGCAGCAAAGGTTCTCTCGCACAATCTCCGCTGGCCAAAGATCCTTATGCAGCTTAACTTAAAGGTGCGATGCCCCTGTCACTATGCCTGTCACTTAAATGCATAAAATGTGTCACCTTCAAGTGAACTTATTAACCAGGGAGAAATCTTTAAGGTCAAAGATCATCTAAAATATCTCACATCAATTCACTTGATTGGGCACGCTTTGGCTGAGCATATTTCAGTTTTAACCAGTCGCATATCCCTTCATCTATTTCAACAAACTATGAAAATATAGAGTACATATATGTATACATATACAATATAGGCAACTACCTCAGCTTTGACTTTTATCATGCCAATTGCTCTAATGAAAGAAAAAGTTTTTTTTATTCACGTTATAATGCTGTACATCTACAAATAAAAAAATACCCCTGCATACATAAAATGTATTTTATTTTACTTTTTTTTTTTATTAAAAGAGGTTAGGTGTTTAAGGAAAACATACAATCTGCAGTAAACTCACGCCAGACAACTTTTTTATTACCACTGTCACCGTGTGAGCTCGCCTGATGTTGTCAGTGTGATGGCTCAACAGTGTTATTATATACACACTGATTACTATTTTCCCCCAGGAGACTCGCCCGTTTTACAAAGTATGGCTAATCATTTCACACTCTGGACAACAAGTCAGAATCTGTGTGAGTTTTAAGACTCACAATTGACAAACCGACCATGTAGTCGAGCTTCTAGTACAACTTATTACCGGCTTAGAGATGAGTCCTATAAAAGTTTTTAACAAATGACAGATATCAACAGCGCGCGCGTCTAGCTACACCCTCCCAAAATACGACACTTGGGTATTTTACGACACGGAAAGCGACTAATTACCAAGTGTGACTTATATTAAATGACGCCACTTTTTACGCTGTCTTCTCGCAAAAGCTACATGTTATTAGGATACGATAGATAGATGTCTCCTAATGTCTCCCAAATCCACACTCTACGTCTCCCTCTTGCGCTTTTCTACACTCACTCTCACTGTAGCTACAGTATCGCTGCCACACTCCGCAACATTGTTTCTATTTCCGTTACTCACCTTTACTCCCAAGTCAGTCGCTGTATATAGACACTCTATATCGGTGACTCCAGTGGATAAACGTAATTTCAGTTCACATTTACACGCTGACTGCTATTTTAGGGGGAGCTGACAAACTCAGAAAAGCCAGTCTCCCTCTTGTCAGTGAGACTCCTCCCCTCATCTGACGAACTGCCTCTGCCCCCCACTCCCTCCTTTCTCTCTCCCTCTCTCTCTCTCTCTCCACTATCTCTCTCTCACACAGCGTCAAAACATGTAGAGAACAAGCTGTCTAAACAGTGTTTCGTTTTTAAACTTCAACATTCATGTGAGGTGAACATTAATCCATTTTGTGCTCATTTTCAGACATGGAACTACCCCCTCAAAAAATTGTACAAAATCAAAGAAAACAATTATAGAAGCATGTCCTCAATTCCCCTTCCTTTAAGGCGCATTTTTATTTAAAAAGCTACTTTTCCGAACTCACTGGCCTCGGCCTCATTACAAACTACATTTGACGTCATATCTCTAAGACAACAGCGATGGAATTCGGTTTGAAGGGCAGTTCCGTCGGCCGATGAAAACTCGCAGCGCCCCGTGAGCAGCTAATCGGAGCGGGAAGGCGGGACCTTCGTGACTCCCATACGGGCATGTCACGTGTATTTGCGGGGGTCATCGTCACAGGAGGTGTGGCTAGCAGGGGCTGTAGTGGCGAGTGGCCCGCCCCGCTGTTTATACTGGCGTTTGGAGGCAGGTGTCATTTTCTCTTGCAATTATGCGTTTATTATAGATTTGATAGACTTGATTCTGGAGCAAATTTACAAATGAGTGGCTATTACGATTAAATGTGGCAGTTTAAAGCTGTTTGAAGCTAACAGGGCTTTCTGGTTTGAAATGGAGCCTGAATAGAAGGACCCTTTTCTTCTATTTTAAATACGAACTTGGACTGTATTTACCAAGAAACTATTCTAGCTACAATTTACTTTATAGATTTATCGCATAAGATTTATTTCTTGATGTCTTACTACCCAACAGCAGGTTAACATAAACTCTGTCTTAACAAGGTACGCCAGGTTAAGCCTCACACAAGTTAATTATTCATTTTAAAATAATTACATTTGTTAGCATAATAACCCTTTTCCCCTCCAAGATTAAAAACATAAATGAAAGAATGTCCTTGATATCCTTTTGTGGTTTTGCTGCTTTATTAAAGGATCCACTTCCTGAATCCTCAGTCTTTCTAAGAGTGAAACCCAGAAGTCTCACAAAAGTTTTACACATTAAACTACATTATCTATTTGTGAAGGAATAGAATCACTCTTTCGTATACAATAGCTTTTTGGGTAGCACATTTTTATTAATATACAGCTGATAAAATCAATTTTAGATCACAAGGAGTAACCAAACTTTCAGTGTCTGAATGTTTTCACTTCCTCTAAATACTTTAGAAATGGTAGTCAGAGCAGCAATTTTGTATCTCTGCAAACACACTGTATGGTTTGATGGTGCTATGATGAAACATTTTATACTTATTCAGGAATGACAGAGAGGGTTTTGTACAAAGTTGATTAGTGTTTGTTTCGTCTGTGGTGCATTGTGTTATCTAAGTCACCAGTTAGTTTGAGCTGTAAAAAGAAAGGCTGTGTTTAGTGTTCCTGGGACCTCCTGACTCCTCATAAGTCTAAAGCAAGAAGTCAACATACCTTTAAAAAAAACTATTAAAACACAAAATGTCACAGCCTTGGAATAATTAGGCCAAGAAACAGCAAACTAACAGATTAAATGGCATATCAGTTATTTTCATTCTATCATGGACTTGTGACCTGTCCACACTGTATCCTGGAATATGCTCCAACATCCCCCACCCCCCACCACCTTATTAAACTGAATTGGATCAGCACTAAAGAAACCCTGTCTTTCTCAAGACTTTTCTCAAGACTTCTCCCTCCGTGCCAAAAAACCAAAGAAAAAAAAAAGCCAAAGTGATGAAATTAAATTTTAGAATAAGTCCTTAAACAAAAAGAGAGTAATAATGTTTCCATTCTATCTACAGCTGTTGATTTACACTGCCCTACCATTTGATTCTGAAAATCATGCTAGCATTTTAAATCATAACATCATATTGCCAGGTAACGTACATTTCTGGTTGTTCTTTCGTGGGAGGCCATTTAATTATTATTTTTTGTGTGTTTCCCAAATTTACTATGTATTTATAAGCACCACATGACAGGGTTAGCAAGTTTTGTTTTGATCTGTTTTGTTTGTTAAATATTGAAGTACTTTTAGTCTAATGAGCAATTCATGCAGTTGTTACACTTTGATGAAGTCATTGAAGCCTTTCCTGTAATTTCTGGATGGCTGAAAATTGTAGTCAATAGCAAAAAATGAATATTTTGCACCCAGCAGTGCTTATATTATAACAATGCTGGTGCGAGATCTATCTTTGAAAAGATTTTTCTTTTCTTTATCCAGACAGAGAAGAACATATACTTTGTGTACTTTAATAAGTATTATTATGTTGTCTGTGTGGTAAAAGTTCAACCCTCTTTGATATATTGTAGCATATAAAAGTGGTATAATATATTACATAATATATGATGTATGTTTTCAAAGTGACTGAATCTGTTAGCGACTCATGTGTGGTATTCTGTTATTAGAAGATTAGTACTACTACATTGTTAGTACAACAATATTACATCTCATAACCAAAACAAAAATCAGCATTGTTTCAGCTTTGTCGTGATCCTTTATGAGTTCCAGCTGGTTCTTATTAGGGGTGCAACGATACACAAAATTCATGGTTCGGTTTGATACTTTGGTGTCACGGTTCGATATTTTTTCGATACAAACAAAATGTTCATGCCTTTTTAATTTATCATTTATTAAAATTATAAATATATATTTTAACTCAAAAGTACAGTTTTTAAATTTAATGTTGCTGAAACAACAAAATAAAAAAAATTAATCGATCTGATCGAGAAATCACTCATCTTGGGAAAAGAGAGTTTATTACAGAGAAATGACTCTTTCCAAAATAAAAGCTATACTATACGCTTCTTCTGGGGTATATTCTCAGCAGCATATTAAACATATCAGGTCCCCATAAGGAGAATCATGTGCTAACTGCTGTCTAAATGACTCGGGTAAAGTTTGTAGCATGTGTGCTTGTTGTTTTTGTCTACTTCCACTTTGCACTAGAATGATGTCAGTGTAAATGTGCTGTCATATTCGTTGTGTTCCCACTAGCGCTGTCAGCGTTAATCTCGTTAAAATGACATTAACGCCATAACGCGGCAAATCTCCGTTAACAAGTTGCCATGGATCACCCCGTGCTTGGGGCTGGACAGCGTCAACAGGTTAACAAGCTAACTGCGCTAACGCACTAGTTCCCACAGCTTGAGCATTGCGTGGCACATCCGACATACTGTTTTACTTTTGTCCATGACGCGCT